GCTAATAAATTCTGCTTGCCGGGTACATAATGTAAATTTACATCATATTCCATCAGTTCCATCTTCCAGCGCTCTGCTCGAGACGTGTTAAAGTCTCTGAAGGCTAGTAGGTTCTTATGGTCCGTAAATACTTTCACCGGACGTCCTAGTACAAATGCCTTAAAATGTCTTAACGCACACAGTACCGCGAACAGTTCCTGCTCTTCAGTAGTATAACGAGTTTCCGCCGGTAACAGTTTCTTGCTGTATATTCCGATTATCTTATGCTCTTGCGTGAGCACAGCTCCAATGCCTGTATTACAAGCATCCGTAAATAACGTGTATCCTTCATTTGGGTTCGGATTTGCTAATACGATTTGTCTTTCAATTTGCTGATAGATGTGTTGTCTGGTCTTTTCATCCTCGGTTGTCCATTCGATGGGTGCTCGTTTGCTTGTAGAGCGATCTTTCCCTTGCAGCTTATTCGTAAAAGCTTCGATCTGTTTGGACAGGTTCGGCACGTATGGTCTGAACCAATTGAGTTGGCCTAGAAGACTGCGTAGTGTCTTCAGATTATGGGGTGGAGGCATTTGTTTCAACAAGGCGACTTTTTTGATATCGGCCTGTACCCCCTTTTCAGTGACGATGTGTCCTAAGTATTCCACCTTTGTTTGTGAAAAGTGTGTCTTTTCTGGATTGAGTATGATATTATGCTCCTTCAATCGCTCGTATAGCAATTTTAAATGCTCATTATGCTCCTCTTGGTTCTTTGAGTGAACGAGTAAGCTGTCGAGGAATATCTTGAGGAACGGTAGGTCCCCTAGACAATTCTGCATAATACGTTGGAACACTTGCGGTGCATTTTTCAATCCGAATGGCATTCTCTTGTAGATGTAGTGTTGATTACCGATGATGAATCCAGTATATTTTTGGGCTTCATCTGCTACCTTGACTTGGTGATATCCTTGTTTCAAGTCGATTTGTGAGAAGCACTTCATGCCGATGGGTATTTCTCGCAGTGTGCGTAGAACATCGGGGAAGGGAAAGGCTATATTTTCGGTGATACTATTTAGTCGCCTATAGTCTACGACAATTCGTGGAACCGTAGTGTTTTTCTTTGCTACTGGAAAGGCTGGAGATGCATATGCATCGAACGGTGCTTTCTCTATGATTCCTGTTGCTTCTAATCGCTTCACTTCCTGTAGTACCGCGTCTTGTTGCTCTAAGGGTATCGAATAACTATGCTTGATCCGAATTGGTTCGTCTGATGTAAGTTTGATGTTGAACTCTTGGTTCTTAATCGGTTTTGTAATATCCCCGTATGTGGGCAATCTGAACACTTCGCGTGGTTTCTCTGTTGGAATCTCACGGGCCTTTTGGTTGGGCTTAGTGCTAGTTTTCTTCGGTGTGTTCGCCTTCTTAATATCCGCTCTAGACTCTGGCTCGCTCATGTTCTGCGGCTCTTCTCCCGTGTTCTTGTTCAGGGACCCTCGTAAATTCTCGGTGTTTAGGGTTAACATCTGATGGTCTAACCCCCATTGTAAGCCTACTATCGGCTTATCGAGTGTAATTTTCTTACTTATGAAGAAGGGTGTGATAACAACTTGGTGGTCGTTGGGTAGTGTAATCGGGACGTCTAACTGTATTGCAGTGACTTTTGCAATCCGGTTTCCGCTTTTAAGGGAAAAGGTTTTGGGCTGTCCTTTTGATAGGTCCAGCCCCAAGGCTTTTGCCTGGTCGTGAGTCATAAAATTTCCCGTCGCACCAGTGTCCAGCAAGAATTCTTGGTCCTGGGCGTGTACTTTGGCGTGAAGTACAGTGGGAGAATTACTTAAAAGACTCGTTGAAAACATTTGGAAATTCATTTTTTTTGTTTCGTCCTGGTTAGAACTGTTACTACGCTTCTGCGCTGCAGAAGCCTTTCGCTCTTCTCTCGCTTTTTGGTTAGCCACTGCTTGGGCTTGTGCCTGCTTGAGCTGGAAGCACTCTTTGGTTGAATGCCCCACTCTCTGGTGTATCTCGCAGTAGTTCTCTCGCACGTTTGGGTGCTTAAGATTCTTCTTTACTGCTGGAGTGGCTACCGTCATTGGTCCTGCTTCCTGTTTCCGACTTTGGTAGTCGCTGGCTTTCGTCAAAATCACTAATTCTGCATCGTGCAGTTTTTCGACGTACTCTGAGAGTATCATGCCTCTCGTTACGGGATAAAGTAACCGTGTTCGCTCTCCAAGCCCGCTTACAAAAGTCTCATATGTGAACTGCTCGAGCATCTCGACCTTGAGTTGGAATCTCAAAGCATGAGCTCGAGTGTAGGCGTCGACCTTGTCCTTGTATCCTTGGATAAGGAAGAAATCGTCTTGCAAAGGTCTTCGTTGTGCGGTTGTATCGCACGCCTGGATGTAGTACCGTTCGATCGTATCCAATGCCTTATCGACTGACGTTGCGTCAGCGAGTAAGTCCGCTACTTGTGGTATCTGGAGTAGTTTTAGTACGTACATCAAGTTGGCTGGGGACAAGTTGAATCCCTTGATACTTTCGATGAAGTATTGGCGCCACAAGTGCGCTCGTGTACCATTGCTAGTGTTGAGTGGTACTAGTTTGAGTTCGATGCATAACTCATTGTTGCCGATCTTGTGCTCCACGTATATGGATATCTGGGGTTCGTTCTTGAACGCGACCAGTGGTGGAGTCTGGCTATTGATGTTGGCCGTAGAGGTCTCGTGGCCCTCTTTGGTGACGAGTAAATTTACTATGTCGTAAATTCGGGGCATGTAAGTGTGCTTGTCTAAAGCTAGTTCCAGTAAAGATTTATTAACCTTTGGAGAACCCCGACTGTCGATTATCGATTGACTTGATATTATGTTCTTCTTATTTCTTTGCATCTGGAATTGAATTTGCTCGCGTATTTATGCTTATTTTAATCACTAAAGTGATATACAATCTCTCAGCATCCATATCATAAAAAGTCGACAATGATCTTGGTCGTCTCCGATGGCGTGGTAATTCCAAGAATTCACCACAGTTTAGGTGATGAATTGACATTTGTTTAACAGCACGCCATAAACAAGGATAAATTAAATATATAAGTGTTTAAGCAGGTTGAAAAAACAAAGGACAATGTTTCACATGACTACTTTCTGTATTACAACTCTTCAGCAGCTGCGTGCACAGGAACCGGAGGCAAAAGCCGGGCATGCGTTGGAAGAGCTGCTCGTGCATTTTGCGCTTCTTGCCCAAACAAAAAGTGCAGCACTCTGTGTTCCCACGCGGTCTCCCATCGCAGTACTATCAAAGCTGTCACGCGCTTAACTTCAGAGATCGAACGGGTTCTGGTGTGAACGCGAGCATATGGCCGCACGTGTTTTGTCTGTGCTCCGGGACCGTGTGTGCTGGCGCTGCGCAAAGCAGAAACATGGGCACGCAAGCAAGCTGGAAAGCTGTGCGTAGGAAGTCAATTAATAAATCTAGCTAGTTGAATAACCCGAATAACAACCCGAATTAACAATGCATTGAATTCGGGCTTCTTCTCTCTGCCGGGCATGGCTG